CAGAGCAAACATGAAGCAAACAATCTGGTGAAAGGTTCGGAGGGCTCAAGTGTTGCTGGTTGGGGTCTATGTTGATGATCGATCATCATTTGGAGCGATCAAAGATGAAGTAAAGGCTTTCAAGGAAAGGATGAAATCCACCTTTGAGATGAGTGACTTGGGTTTGCTTTTCGGTTTCTACCTTGGCATTGAAGTGCGACAAGGCAAGAATGGGATCACCATGAGGCGGACTCACTATGCCAAGAAAATCCTAGGGCGGGAAGCATGTCGATTGCAATCCAATGAAGCCACACCAATGGAAGAAGCGCTCAAGCTCAAAGCAAGCATAGCATCGCCAAGGAGGTGAATCCAACTCGGTATAGGAGGGTGGTTGGAAGCTTGAGATATACTGGTTCATACCAGGGCTGATTTAGCTTTCTCGATTGGGCTATGTGAGTGATTCTTGGAGAAACCGACCACCGAGCACCAAAGAAGCGATCAAGAGGGTCTTTGAGGTACCATTTGGAACATTGGACTATGGTCTCTGCAGTTCAAAAGAGCCCCAAATTCGCTAGGTTTGTGGGCTATTGTGATTCGAGACCTAGCCGGTGATATTGACTCAAAGAAAAGCACAACAGGTTGTCTGTTCTTTTTGGCAATGACTTGGTGTTGGCAATCTATCAAGCAGAGAGGGTGGTGGCTTTGTCTAGTCTAGTTGTGAGGTGAATATGTGGCTATGACTTCAAGCTTGACAACACAAGCCCTGTGGGGTATCAAGATTGTTGGGTGACTTGTTGGGAAGAAAGGTGGAGACTGTGGGCGAGGGTTGACAAACTGGCCCGCAATAGCACTTGCAAAGAACCCCGTCTTTTCATGATGAAGCAAGCATATATCGAATCAAACAACACTTCATCGAGGAGATTGTGTTGAAGAAGGCAACATCAAGACCGAGTTTGTCGCCACAAATGATCAATGGCGGACATTCGACTAAGGCCTTAGGCAAGGCCAAGTTTGAAGACATGAGAAGCAAGATTGGGATCATGAAGATCAAGGATGGGGAAGCGCGGTCTTAGGGGAGAAGCTGTAGAAGTTAAGTCCGCTCCCGGTTATCACTTAGTTATCTGTGCTTAATTATGTTTACGCTATTAAGGCCTTGGGCAAGCACAAGTGACCGTGCAAGTACCCAGCGATTAGTCTGTTTAGTTAATGCTCTAATGAGCCATCAATGTAATCAATGTGCTACTTATCTCCTATATATGAAAGAGCAGTCGCCTGGGTTTGTAAGCCCTGGCTGATTTATTTCTCTGTTACCTCCAACAAAGAGATCCTTACCCTGCCATGAGGCTGAGCAGAAGGAGCACTTGACGTATAAGCACATGAAGTTGGACACCAAGATAGGTAACTTTTTCTCACAACATGTACAGCAGGCCCTTCAAACTGGACTGCAGGTGAATTCCATCCTAATTGAAAATCAAGAATAACTCATTATGATTTTAGGAAAATGAAAAAGGTAGACACAACTTTGAAAGGAAAAAACAACTGAGCAATAATCTTTTGAGAACAAAACTACAAACAAACGTGCCTTCAAGAAATGGAGTCCATCTTTCACGATTTCGTCCAGCATAACCTCCATAAGAAGCAGCTTGAGAGCAGCTGACACCAGTTTCACGTCCCTCAAGACAGAATAATATATTTTTCTTAATATCTCTATGTGAAACTAGTGGATTAGCATGTCCTTTCCAAATATTGAAATTTCTTGAACCATCACTATTTGAGCTAGGATTTGGTTCATTCTGCAAGGTTTCTGCATGGTGTCACCACAATTGGTCAGTTGATACAGATCTGTTGAAACATATTTGCTATTTTATAATAGCTTAAAAAGCAAAATTTCATTAAAAACAGATAATTATGGGTCAACATATTCATTTTAAATAAAAAACAAGTTGTTACACACCAGCATTCCTGGGTGCATCTCGGAATGCTAAGGACATTGTAGCTTAATCTTCACAGTAAAATCAAAATATCCAAGATTAACAGGAATCATGACGCCCTTACAAAATCGATGTAATTTTGTGGTGTGAGCAGTCAAACTTGCAAAAAAAAAGACTAACATAAACAATGGTTTTCATTTATGGCATGGAGATGATGTTAGTAGCTTGTACTTCCAAACCACTGTTTATTAAATATTCTTTACTAAAATTTAGCAGATAGCTGAAAAGGTACTGCTCAAAGGCTTGTATATAAAAAAAATAACTTTTTTTAGAATAAAATAGCACATATGAGCCAAAAAAAAAGAATGTATCTAAGATCAACTGGTAGAAGCTATAATAAGATGATTAATCCTATATTAGGTAAAATGACAAACCTGCTGATGCTTCACTATAACACCATGCAGGTGTAACAATGATAGGGTTTCTCTTCCTCTTATGCCCAGGTTCACTTTCTGGGGCTCCTCCTGGAACTGACTGTTCATTGATAAACACCTTCTTTGCCTCCGAAGGGGCTGAAGCATTTGCAGTAGTGGCCCCTTGTATACTCATGTTAGTCTCTTGATTTGGAAATTCCACATATGATGAATCTGTTTCTTTAATGGCAACAGTACGACATTGCTTTAACAGCACAGCAGTCAATTGGTTCTGCAAGTCTGTCAAACTGAAACACATCAAAGAACATGTTACCACAAACTATTCACATGTTAACAGATAAATAGTTCAGAGTTAACCACATACAGTTCATATTTGAGCAAAGCTTCTTTCTTTTTGGACAATGACGTCTTCTTATCCCTAAGAGTTGCATTTCCACCTTGAAATCTGCCTGCAGTACCGCTTTGTTGTCTGCATGCACTGACACTGGGAAATCTACCTGCAATTTTCCAGAATGTCATCTTACTTTTCATGTAGACACTAGTAGCACTTCAAAAAAAATGTAAATATATAGAAAGTAAACCTGTCACTGGAGGTATAGTTTTCTGTAATGGCACAATGTTTTCTTCTGGAGTGACTGCAGCAGCAATTGGTAGAACTGTGGCTCTAGCCGCAGAAAGTTGCAGAGTCTGCAAATCAAGAATCAGCTTTTGTAATCCCTTGCCAGGATGTCAAGCGCCAGTTTAGCACTCATAGAAGTTAGGGCGAAAAAAGATTTCTTGCAGCAACCGTCAAATGGTCAAGAAAACCATGTGTACCTTTGGCAACTTTCCCTTCTTTTTTAGCATCTTCAAGTGCATCCTCTGGGTGTAGTGAATCAAATGGTATTTTGAATGTTTCTCAACCAGCCTGTCCATTATCTTTGGGTTCGATGTAAGCCAGTCTGATATCTGCTGTGTAGCAACTAGTGAGTCCAGCTCAAGAGATTCCAACCACTGGTACACAGGCTTCCATAGATCAGTTCGCTGGAACCTGTACGGGAATGCGCTCTGGTCTGCATCTAAAACCTGACAAAGAATAAAATAGAAGTGACCCTGACTCAGTTTTGTTGATCAATATGGCCTTATGGGGCCAGAATACAAGCATGTATCAAACATATATGGAGAAGGATAGTTCCATCAGTGCTATCATGCAGAAACAGCAGACTACATGATGTACAGAGCTCCGAATTGAACTAATTGACACAGTAGTTTAAACATTCATAGAAACTCTTATAATCAGGAAACTAAACTGGCCATTATACAACTCCAAATTCCGAGGGCTGGAAAGTGTTGGCCTTTGCTGCCTTTCTGTTAGAACCCCATAATAACCATTCAATTCTCTACGACTGAGCAAGAGAGTAACCCCAGATCAGTGGACATTGGACTGATTCAGGAATAAACCACACCCCCAATCACCAGATTTGATGAAGAAAAAAAACAAAACAGATAAAGCACGCAAGCCGATTAATTTCGTCAACTCGACAACCGGGGGAGTCACATGACAATTCGCAAATAGTTGAGGTGTAGTTGGGTTACCAGGTCGCCGCGGAGAGCGAGGAGGCGCTGGTGTAGCTGGGAGCGGGGGAGGGAGGGGAGCTCGGGCCGGTGCACGTCGATGTAGGCGTCGACCTCGGGCTCGGTGGGCGGCCGTCCGTCGGGGAAGGACTCTAGCCAGGCTCGCGCGGCGATCTCCCATGGGTGCGGCGGCCGCGTCGAAGAGGACGAAGGCGGCGCGGCGGGGGTTTGCGGTTGCGGAGGGGTCGGGTTCGGGGGCGTGGCCGGGGCGGTCCCGCCGAGGCCGGGGCCGGGGGTTTGGGGGTGGAACGGCGCGGGGACGGGGAAGGGCAGCGGCGCATCCGGCGGGAGCGCGCGGAGCGGGAGGATGGCCTGCGGCTCCGGCATTCGCGGCGGCGGCGGCGGCGGAGGTGCGGTGCCCTGGTGGGTTTTGGGGGGTTTGCTTGTGCTGTGTGCCTGACTGACTTGCCTGTGTGCTTGGACAGCTCGAGAGAAATGTGAAATTGCAGCAGTTGCCTTTTTTTTTATTTCGAGGTGAAATGGAAAGCGTAATAACTGCAAGCCAGGAAACTCTTCTCTGCGTGCAAGTTTGGGAATTTTGACAAACTCATAAACAATAAAGCTTTTAAATATAGTACAATGCTGTTCACATCTTTAGTTATGTTTTCTTCATGATCAATTCGTCATGATCAATTCGGTTCAAAGCTTTCAAGACATTGCATTTGGCAAGCTGCACCACGTCAAAGAATCCAGTGGCACAAAACAAAAGGTCCCATTTGCAGTTTTGCACTGAGTCAGACTAGGACAAGGAAGTACTCTCTTCTCTTAAAAATAGACTCTGCGGTTCCATTCGAGATACAGCCGAAGTAGAGGAACAATTTGAGCACATTACATACCAGTAGTTTTCCAATCTAAGAAATCGAAACGAACCAAAGAAGTTGAAAACATAGTGAACAAAATTGTGAGTTGTGACAGGTCACTATGTGTAACTTCCACCTTGCACTCACTCATAAAGGCTATCTTGTCGTTTGGTTCGTGAAGAAGTTATCCGTGAAGGATTTGTAACTGACAGAGTTAGCCATTGATTTTCCACAGCTATTCACTACCGCTTGCACTTTGCCTTCGCCATTTTCTTCCTTTTCTTCTTCTCGGCCTTTGGGATCTTGGTCTTGCGGGCCTCCCTCTTCTCTTCCTTCACTTTCTTCTTGTTTTCCTTCCGAGCAGCCTTCCTTTCCTCGGGCCGCATCTTGGGATCAACCTCGTGCCACGAATCATCATCTTCATCGGAACTCGAGCAAGATTCGCTATCATCTTCTTCAACCTCCACCATATTTTGTGCCGGTTGTTCTTGCTCCTGCTCCTTTTCAACGTGTGTGTTTTTAGACCGCACAAATCCTAACAATGGCTGGTCATAAAGCTTATCTGCTGTTGGCTCATAGCCTGAGGATGAGCGTTGCATTATTGACACGTTGACAATGTCTGCCTCACATTGCTTCACATAATCCAACGTCTATGCAAAGAAATCGATTACATTAGTGTTACGCATGGTATTGGAAACAATAAAAGGAACAGAATAAAATACACAGTTGAAACTAGTGTGAGATAACTAGGAGAAATCATGCAAGTGAGAGTTACTGATTGAATGAAGCTATTAAGATGTGTGAAGCTATTAAGATATTAATGATTGAATGAAGCTATTAAGATGTGTGAAACTACATTCATGGCACTGCCAAAGCCGATGACAATACTGAACTAATCTTACCTGCACCATGACTGTTGGAGTAATTTCATCATCGTTTGGAACTGCACCTCCATTTTCCAAAATCTTTTGCTGAGCCTGTGATTAAAATGCAATATTGTTAATCAACCAGATTTGTGCCTGTAGCTTTTATAAGGTGATGGTTAAAACGAAAGTGTGGCACACTCAGACAAAAATACCTTTTCCAGGTAATCGTCGACATCTTCATCGGAAATGCTTTGATCAATAACAAAATTAAATAAATCAGTTACTGTCATGACAGGAACACCTCGTTTTTTAAAGAAGTCCTGAGTAGTGTTGAACATATCAGTCACAGGAATTTATGAATATATATATATGCGGTGATTAGTTCAACTTTCACTTACAGAAACATGCAAGCAATCTTCCTTCAGAAAGTCCAAAGCTGAAGGGTGATCTAGATCAACGGATTGCGAAACATCAATAATGTACAAGTGGCCCTGGACAACAGGTATATCAGAATGGAGATAAGGAACAGTTGACCTGAAAAGTAAAATATGTTGGAAAAGGGTTTATTTAACAGGAGTTTAAGTGTTTAACTACCTCAAAATATAGAATGTTGTATTCACTCAAATCACCATGGACCAGTTTGCATTTTTGGTAGAGAGTCCGCATTGTTGTAATTATCTGAAAAGAAGGTCCAGTAAGTAATATGAGAAAACTGAAAATAATACATACAATGAATTCTAACAGTAAAATATATCTAAACTGAAAAGAGATAATTTTATGCATACACATCAGCCACGGAATAAAAGTGATTGCTTGCTGCGAAGGATCATCTCTAAAACTTCTAAAATGGTTCTCATATGTGAGCAGTATCATCACATAAACTTTGCATGGCAGCTGGTGAAAAATGTAAATTACCATTATAAACCGGTCTGAACTACAACTGCCCCCAAACAAAGTTTTATTTACACACTCCCAACTATTTTCAAATCCATAAAAACAACGAAAACTACCACAACCCCATTTGTATTTGTGTACTCTACTACAGTTTTCCTAACATGCACCAACGAATAATCAACAAGGGGCATGAATAAGTCAGAAAATGATAAAGAACAAGGTTGTTTGTACCATCATCAATCCCAACTCCCAAACAACAATTCAAGACTAATATTATGGTCAGTATGCTAAGGTAGAGGAAACAGTGTTTGGTTTTCAAATTTGAACCATGCAAGTGGATTATCAATACTAAAGATAATGGTTCAGATCTTTCCTTAGGTTCCCTAATGTTACTAATTTGATAGAGATTTAACTTAACTATTGTGTAGCTCAAATTTGCAGCTCTCTTTTTGTTTTATGCTTTACATCAAAAGGATATGCACAAATGCAGCAAACGCCCTACAAGCTATCTTTGGTCACTGACCAGATATGCATGGCACACATCAATCCAACAACTACAAAGTTGCAACTGTGCTGTCTGACATATCGTGTACCTCAAAGTAACTTTCACGCAACTTGTCATCTGACAAAGCAGCGTCCTTGAGACGAGGAGCAGCCCAACCTCCTTTCCCTGATACCAAATCAACTTATTAGGGCGCATTCAGCAATACAATTAGAAGTACTATTGCAATGCAAGCAAGCTTAGCAAGTTACCAGCTTAAACATTATTAAGTAGACAAGTATCTGGTAGGCAAACAATAATATAAATTTTACCTATGAATTCCATCACCAATACATGAAGCCTCAGGAGTAACGGTACAGGGCATCGGATTCCAGCTGCCCTCACACTGTAACAAGGTTAGCAAAGAAATGAACACATCCAAATATCAGAACCAATGCCCGCCTATTTGTGTGACTACTGACTAGCAAGGGATATTCAATGAATTGATAAGTAAGGTCATTCTTTGGTTAAAAGAATCCCACCGTAGAAGATTTCTCATTTCCTTTTCAGCCCAGGTCTTAACCATTTTCCGAGGATTATGCTTGCAATAACCATGTCTAAAACGGTAATCTCCTTGAACATATCGGTCTCTATCCCTGCAATAATAAAATAATACATTCTCTTACCATGAATACATTTTGAGATCAAATAATTTATACAAGTACCAAAAGGGTAAATAGCATAACCACATAATCAGCATTTCTGCAGTAGGTTTCAACAAGTATCCATAGTTGGAAACAAACAATCATTGAAATGTAATCTTACTTAAAAACAAGGACAGAGGTTTTGTAGACTTTTATTGCAAGCTCCTGGCCATCCGTCTTTGTTGCATGATAGACATTTGCCTGCCATAGATGGGATTAATGTTGGCCATGTTAATAATTATACTCAATCAGGAAAATAGAGATCTGTAACTAGGGTCAAGGAGCATATAAATCTTCTATCTACAGAAGGAGCTGTGTATATTCATTATGTTTCTAGGTACACAATCGAAGAAGTCATTCCAATGCGCACTGTAACTTAAAGCTACCTCTTTCCCTGTAGAAATGCAGCCATTTATATTATTAAAGACACCACGGTTTAACATCTTGAATAGAACCATGCGCGTTCTTGGGTCAATAGCCTGCATATATAAACAAAAAACATTCAGTGTTCAGAAAATGATTCAATTGGAATAACCTTCATTAGATTTAGGTAAGCCAACTCATACACCCTTTTTTAAGACAATGCAACTAAGGCATTTAAATGCACTAAACATCAAGAATAGCATAGTTAATACTCGTATAAAGGAAGAAACTTCTGCCTCCAATTGTAGGTATACAGCAAGCCATGGATAGTAAAAACAAAGGCAGTAAGGTAAGGTCTGATGAAAATTTGCAGGCCAATAATTAGAATACTCCAGCTAGAGAAGTTCTGCTCATTTTTATAATGCATCCGGCCCTTGGGCCATTTGGATCAAATACCAGAGTGGTTTCGGTTTTTGGAAATGCTGCCATCAAAGGTAGAACATGAGGTTAAATGAACTAAAACAAATTCTTATCATGTACAGCATAAATCCAAACAAAACAGATATATACAATAAATTTTGATTTCTTCCATTGTTGCATAAGCAATACATGAACCCGTTTAAAAAAAATACAGGAACCAAGCAGCAGCCAGCCACTTAACTGGAAAGCTAGCTAGGTTGGAAAGGGTGGAGTGGTACAACAAGATTATGCAAGTGCATGAGAACAACTCAATTCCAGAAGGTACAGGAAAAAAAAATCACCAGTCCACCACCTAGCTGAGAACATTTTACAAACCTGTTCCACTGTAGCACGATCAGCCTTCTCAGTGTTCCTTATTTTTCCAATCGCTGTGTCCCTTATGCTATCCCTGATTGCAGTTGTGACGGAATTTGACATCCCCACGTTCATCCTACCTTCCCATTCCTGAATCATTCAGAACAAATCACAAGAAACAATTAACACAAACCACAGAAACACTCAATGTGCATGTCATGCATTCACGCAAATATCTCATGAGTTAAAGTGCTCTAATTGTGTTTACTATAAGCATCCTATCCTTTTAGACGTGCTCCAAACTGATACAGTATATACACAGAACCTAAATTATATAGATCGTCGAGTCTCATGTCACCACAGGATTACCACCATATTTCAGTAGACCCAGCTCCTAAGTCCTAACTCTCTCAAATTTAAATGCTTTCGTAGATCACAACACCAGCTACTTCGAACACGGAATGTAAAACGCTATATACCTCCAAGGGGGTAGCACGAATGTGCGAGGCCAGCTTCTGGGTGCGGTTAGAGAGCGGCTGGAGCGGGCGGGAGAGCACACCGCCGTGTGCGTTGGGCCTGCGCGCCGCAGCCCCGCCTCCGGAGGCCGAGAAGGCGCCGGAGGGCCGAGCTGAGCCGTCAGGGCCCTCCACGGCATCGAGCCAGTCCAGAGCTTCGCCGACCTCGTTGTCAGAAGCATCATCGAAGTCAGAGTCGGACCACTCCTCCTCAGCGCCGGACTTCACGAGGGCCATCGGAGTAGACCTGGGAAGAATTGAGAGGAGAGCTTGTCGTGTCACGTTGCCGGCGGTGGCGGTGGCGGCGGTAGAGAAGAGAAGAGAGAACGGGCGAGAGGCAGGGGCAGCGGAAACCCTCACTCCGAGGCTTTCTTTTCTTTGAGAGGCCTCTAGTATCCTCATTTCTTTCGGGCCGCAGTTCCGGCCCAGACGGTATGGCTATCGAGCCCAACTTCGGAAATGTATTGGGCCATTTCGGACGGTGGCGTACCTAAACTCGGGGAAAAAATTCCACGTTACCTCCTCGACTTTCACAAAAGTCTGTTTTTTCTCTCTGAACTCTAAAATCAGACAAAAACACCTCCCTCAATTTTTAAAACGATTCATCTTACGTCCCTAGCCCTGTTATAAGCAGTTTTGAAGACGGTTTTATTTTTTTTTTTTTTATTTATTTCGACTGGATCTTTGAAAAATCATAGTAAATCACAGAAAAATCATAAAATAAAAATCTAATTTTGTTGGACTCCACATGAATAGGTCTACACAGTGAATATATAATATAGTATGCTTTAGTACAACGTTTTTATTGTGGCTTTACATCTATGCTTTTATATAGTTAATTGGAATAATTCATAGCTGCAGTTTCTATGGTCCAATTGTGATAAAATTTTTATAGTAGGCTAATTTTGTATGGTTGAACTGTAGTAAAAATTGCATACTCATTCGATCATGTATAGCTTAGTTATAGATTTATTTATACTTAACAAGCATAAACCTAAATAAAATCTATAACTAAGTTATACATGATACAATGAGTATGGAATTTTTACTACAGTTTAAGCATATAATAATTAGCCCACCATAAAAAAATTTATCATAATTGGACCATAAAAACTGCAGCTACGAATTATTCCATTTAATTACAGAAAACCATAGATCTAAAGTCACAGCAAAAACTTTGTACTAAAGCATACCATATTATATATTCACTCTATAGATCTACTTATATGGAGTCCAACAAAATTAGATTTTATATTTTTATGATTTTTCTATGATTTACTATGATTTTTCAAAGATTCAGCCGGAATAAAAAAAAAGACAAAACCATCTTCAAAACCACTTAACAGGGCTAGGGAGGTAAGATGGACGATTTTAAAAGCTGAGGAAGGTGTTTTGTCCGATTTTAGAGTTTGGGAAGAAAAAACGGACTTTCGTGAAAATTGAGGAGATAATGTGAACCTTTTTCGAACCTCAGCCCGGAATGGAAAAATGTGCCTAGAAGGTCCAAGTCTGTGGATGGGCTGGCTCCGTTTCTTGGTGAGGTTACCTGGATGGAACGACATCATCTTTCTTTCGCGACGAGGAGAAAGGAATCATCTGTTTTCCTCTGGCCTTCGGGGCTCGGGCAAGGGATGAAAACGGACGGAAAAACTTCTCTCTATTTCTGTTTCTATATCTTTAGCGGAAACGGGATCGGATTCGAAAAAAAACAGAATTAAAATCAGATAGGGATATATAGAAATGCGAAAACAGATAAATACGGATGGAGAGCCGGAAAAATAAGTTAGAATAACATGATCAAATATTCTTGAGTATATATGAATAAAGTCATAAAATAATATACACGTACGAAATTATCGGTCCAATATTCACTAGTATACCATGTGTTAACATGTTAACATGCATAATTTGTGATTAGTAGGTTTATGAACGTATCAATTTCTAGACATATCTCACGTAGATTGAAAACGGGATGAAAACAGAATAAATACGGGCCAATTCTAGATAAAAACAGGAAACGGACGGAAAAACCTCTTTCTTATTTTCGTAAATACGGAAACCGGATGGCAGAGAGTAGAAAACGGAACGGGTCGGAACGGGATTTTTCCGTCCGTTTTCAACCTTACCTCGGGCACATTCCTCCCCTCCGAGCTCGGACGGCAACGGCTTCCATGGCCGCCGCAGACCCCGCCACCGCGGTCTCCTCCTTCTCGCAGTTCTCTTTCCGCCGCGCCGTCTGCCCCTCCCCGCTCCGCGTCCGCTTTTCGCGGCCCCATCCGCCCGCTCGGCTCCGCGTCTCCTCCACCACCGTCGTTGCTCTCCACAAGCGCAACCCCAAGCGGCTCAAGTACGCCGCCGAGCGCCAGTTCTCGGTACTTTCTGCCTCAAGCGCGTGCTCTTCTTTCTTTGTTTGTTTTTTTACCTCTCCGCAACAACGCTCGCCTTTCGCGGGCTTTCTGGCGCTGACTGCTAAGAACGGTTTCTTTGGTGGCTGTGTTTTGCGCGCACGAAGAGAGGGGATGCCGGGATGCTGCGGGTGGAGGTGGAGCCCTCCGGCGAGGACTTCTGGAAGCTCGACCCTATTATCGACCTCATCAATCGCGGCGCCGTCGGGGTGATCCCTACTGACACCGTGTACGCTGATCAATGCTTCACTTGGGCCTTTTTAAGTTTCGTACTAAAATCACATACTCCAACCGCAACTTTTTGAGCATTTCCTACCAATTTCTATGCGATTGTTGTAAGCTCTTAAGTTCTTTAATGATGAAACAACGATTTCAGCGTTTACAAGTTACAACCACTTCTATGCAAATGTGGTTGTGTGTGCTTTCTGCTTTGTTTTGAAGCAGCTTTGTTCCACTAAATTTGAGCTTTGGAAAAAAAAAATACAGCAACGGAAAATTGATAAGTTGCATATGTGCATTTGTCCTATTTGTGTGGGTTTTGTTGAGTGTATTCCTATAGGCACGATTATATGCTTAATCTTTTCATATTTTATATTTGTAACTATGCTTGGTTGACCACAAATAACATGGGGTCGTACTTTTGACAGCTACTCCATCGTCTGTGACCTGAGTAACAATGAATCCATTGAGCGCCTTCGCAGGTAAATTCATTGATTTGATCATTTTGGTCTGATAAGTGATCAAGTCCAATGTTTTCTCGCAATCTTAGGTATGAAACAAGCCATTTTAGCTCTAACTAGTACTATATGCTTGCTATCGATGCAGACTGAAAGGCATTGGAGACTCAAAGGCAAGATTATCAGGACTATAGAGTCAATTTGGGTCAACATGTTTCTGCAACGAAATATGACTTGCAGAGCATAGTACCCATCTGCATATACACCATGTTCTTACACGCATGCTGAATTATGCAGCCTCTCAGCATCCTATGTCGCTCATTACGTGATATCGATACCTACACAACAGGATTTCCTCGAGGCACCAACCAAGGGCAAGCTAACATTTTCCGTGCTGTCAAGCGTGCAATACCTGGGCCTGTAAGGATATCCTGTTACTCACCTTGTATTGTCGTCATGATTACTTCACGAGTAACTTGATTATTTGCATCTTCTGGACTTCTGCAGTACACATTTATTTTACCTGCAAGCAAGCAATTTCCTAAACAGTGCATAAAGCATGGTTCTTCCACAAGGTATGCAAAAAGGAGGCAGGTTGGCGTCCGAATTCCAGATGATCCCATCTGCCAGGCAATATTGCAAAATCTTGATGAACCTTTGATCTGCACAAGGTTTGTAGTACATCTCAACTCTTCCCTTACTTTTGCTTTCTGCTTCTACTTGTTGCCAATTAGGATGTAGAGTATAAGATCATAGGATCTGGTAGTGAAAATGCAGTACGGTAGTATATCTTCCATATTGCTGGATATTGATTTATCAAACTTTTAGGAGTAGTACTTGATTCTGTGCTTACATGTTATGGTAGAAAATACCTACAGACACCATCAGAGGGCCAAGACAGGCGCCTGAACACTAACAGCGAGATCATAGGAAGAGTGATTGAGCACTTGCTCCTTTTGGCAGTCAAGAGTTTAGCAAAGAATGCAGCGATTGCTTGCAAACACTATATATAGTGTGTAATCAAAGGAATAAAGAAAGCAAATTACAATCAATCTAGACTCATCTCCATTCTCCATTGTCTCACCTCCCTGCTGATCAACTATCACCACCTGCCACCACGGGTAGGAAGCCGGCGGCCGAACGGTCGGCGACCACCCATAGCTATCCCATCCGGTCACTTCCCCACGGACGTGACATTACATGTATGACCATTCTCAGTACCTCACTATGTATGCCACATGGCTCCATGGCTCTCTGTATTCTGGTGTAACTACATTAAAAAAAAAGAAGATGGTATTTTACTTGAAATTATATAAGAATTTCATGTACAGTTCATATGCATCCTTAGCATGTAGAGGAATTGGTTATGATAAAAAAATAGATATTATGTTGTCACCTTGCCATTGGCAAGTTCCATAATGATTCTTCATTTCATTTATCTACAGTGTCAAATATCTATCGGAGGATGAATGGATACTTGATCCAGTAATCATCGCTGATCTTTATGAGCCACTGGTATCTTCTTCCATTTTAATATCGTGCCTGAAACTGTATTCTAATTTTTGATACAGCCATCATAGTTCATAGTTACACTTCTCTTAGAGCAAGTTAGCCTGTAATCTGTGCTGTTGTTATCTGCAGTTCCCTTATATGCAGTACAAAAACTGGTGATTGTTTAGTAAAGTATTATGCTGAAAAAAGTTTCCCATCTGACACCTCTTTCTATCAGTTGCAGCATCACGCATTTATATTTCCAAACAATGGTTGCCTGGAGAGTGCGAATCACTCAGGCTTATGGAAGTGTTGTAGAAAAAATGTCTTTCCAGTAGCTGCAGTTACTAACAAATATCATATTGATGTAATTTTTATTTTTATATACCCATAAAATGGTGACAGATCACTGCAAGCAGCTAGTTAAACCATCTAGTGTTTTGATGTCCAGCTGTATCCCAAATCGTTCTTAAAAGAGTAGGTCTGAAAGATGCTTGGCAAGCATCATATGTTTCAATGTTTCAAATTTACAGGGGCTTGATTTTATTGTTGATGGTGGACCTAGAATTGCTGATCCTTCTACCGTGGTGGATATGATGGGAACAAACCCTACTATAATTCGTCAGGGAAAGGTAAGCATTTGACACCTCGGCCTTTTGATTGTGGATTCTTTAGCCCTTCTACTTGTTTTATTTAAGGTACGCATTCTATATCACCACTTTTTGCTCGTGCATTGTTGACCCCCATCTATGTATTGTGTGTAACCCTGTTTTTTTTTAAGATGAATAAATATAGGAGTTCAAAAAAACGAAATGCACTAGGACTTCAA